AATTGTCGATTGATTGAAAATCTGATCGAATAATCAGCATCATCGGATATCATCGGAAAGTTTATTTGTAGAACGAGAATCGTCGTTCTCATATTTTTCTGTTTTTTTTCTTTTTTCTTTAAAGACATAGTCACTAAACGGAAATAATATATTTTCTTTGTTTACTTTATCTTGACTTTTTATAAATCCTTATCTAAAAAATCACAAGTAGATTTTCAAGGAACTGCAACATTCTCTATTTGACACCTGTCATAAGTCTCAAAAATTCATCTTTCAGCTTTTTAAACAATTATATTTTAATTAATTTTAAATATGATCTCCCAAATTTTGCAACCTTGTCATCCAAATTTTTCAATTAAAGAAAAGAGCATGATCTTCTGTTTCAAAACTTTGAGGAAAGCTGAACACCACATCGTTCAACATATAAAGAGTTACATAAAATACAAACCATAATATCCAAAACCAAATCGCAAAAATATGCTTTCCAAAAACCCAATTGGGGACCAAATAATCTCCGATATTGAATAATAGAGATATGAAAACATCTTCCCAAAATGAAGATGATGAGTCAAATCTGCAAATCTGAGAAACCACCAAAGAATAAGTGCGAAAATCCATCCTCATTAACTCCGATTGTAATGAATCCTCCTCTTTCATTGCAATCCTCCATTGAAAGCCTCCACATCAAAACAAAAAACAACTAGAGAGAACCAAATATGAAAAACATATCCATTGAATACGACCCTTAGGATCAACCGAGAAGAACCAAATCTGAAGCAAGACCCGAACAAAGCAAAACTAGACCTCATTGTTGAGTTTAGAACCCTAGAGTCTACCTCCTCATCACCATCTCCATACAACACATCAGCCTGAAAAGATTTTAGATCCTTCAAAACGCCACGACTTGACCGTCTCTCCTCAATCTTTTTCAACCGAAAGTATCTCTGATCTGCAGCCCAAAACCAAACTACAACTGAAACAATCTCAAATTCCGAAAACAACACATCCCAATCCAAAACATGTTGCCCAGTGAGGTGCATCTCCAGAAACTCAAACCCCAAATACAACCGCAATCGAAGCAAACACCGATCAAAGTCTTCCTTTACCCAAATCAAATCCTCAACTTTTAGATACCCTTAAGCTTCCAATCGAGGAAATATAATCTAATGAAATCCAGGGATCCATGATTGATATCCCACCACCAGAAACAGAGCTGATTAACAACACACCAACCCCATATCAAAACCAAAACCACCGGATTTACCTCGCAAGACCACCAAAACAGAATTATAACCACCGTAAAAGCCGAAAAGGAGCCCTTACAAAGAGACATCACATATCCAAACCATTTCAACCTCTTTATCTCAAGGAACCGGCTAGTGGAGATCACTCTCTTCTCTTGGACCTCCTAGAGGGGAACCACCACCACTGTAATTAAACTTCGGCCAAACGAAGCATCACCGTCGAATCGGGTCAAGCCCTTACCAATCAACCCCCGAAGAACCGTATCCTTATCGTTAGCCCATCTGGAGAAAACCACCACCACCGCAAGATCTGACCGACCAAACGTCGCTGGAGAACCGCAGCGCATTGTTGGGTCAAAACCCTAGCACCGCCGCCGCCATTGAAGAAGAGGTCACGCGTTTATCTTTTTTTTTCGTGTAATTCAATCAAAATTATAATTGTTGTATATATTTCTACATACGTATATGCATTTTATTCAAACTATCTTTAAAAAGTTCAATGGTTTGAACTATATATCCCCAAAAGTATTAAGTATTACACCCTATGGTATACCGCGGATCATATTCTAGTACATATTAAATCTAAAAAAAAATCATAAAATTTTAATACTAAATAAAAAAAATACAAAAATCTATCATTACTATATATAAGAATAAAATATTATATCGTAGTATACCCGGAGTTAAATCCTAGTGAATGCTCAAAAGAGAGAGGAAATGAAGGGCAAACTGATATTGAAAGGTTTTTCATTGCCATTAAGAAACCGATTCGTGAGAGTGTAGAAACGTTTTGTGAGGTGTAAACAGTAAACAAAAGCCCTAATAAGGCCCAAAATGAAATCTAGGTGGGGAAACGTTTTGCCAAATTAAATATTAGGATTCGCATGTAAACGCGTGTCAATCCTAAAGCAAACGACCCGTGAGTCATCCCGGCCCGACCCGACTTCACTTACCTTAGCTTAATTTTCGGAGCTTTCCTTCTTCTCCTTGAAAGTGGCAACACTACAAGAAATTTGGGCATTAATAGCACTTTACGATAGCACGGATTTTGCAATTGCTATTAAAGATGGTATTCGAAAATTTGTAACTATATTATAGCGTTTCAGAAACGCTAATCCCTATAATAGCAAAGTGAAAAGCTAAAATCACTTATGACCGCGAAAACTTATCAAATATTTGGCGGTTACCGCTCACACTTAACCAAAAATAAGAAAAAGCTTTTTTTTTTCTTTTGGAGAAATAAAAAGCTCTTAAGAACAAGCAAACCCTAATTAATCTCAATGTTCTTCTCCTTCGTATTTCTCTCCCCCGATACCTCTCTCTTCCTCGATTCTTACCTTCTCCTCACTCTTACTCTCTTCCTCTGATTATGCGTCCCTAGATCTATTGGGTTTTATCAATTTCGCTTTAGATTTCAGATCCACCATCTCTTTGTCACTCTCGCTCTCATCCCCAGATTCTTCTTCTTCTTCCATTCGATCAACTTTTCATTCTCAAGCTTCTTCGCTCGTCTCAGATAACCCTAAACCATATATTTTGATGTCGGTGGCTGAAACATAGCTGAAACCCTAACCCATCTTCGTCGCTCCGTTCTTCGTCGCTCTGTCTCACTTCCTCCGCTTCTCTGTAATTTTGGAATCTGATCAGAATTGTTCATGAATTAGTCAGACTCACATATGTTTCACTTCTTTTCGTCTCTTGATTTGAGTTGAGTAATATCTGTGTTGAAACTTCTAATAAAGGTTAGATTTTGATCAATGATAGTCTATGTAGTTTGAGTTTAGGAGTCAATTTTTGGTGATAAAATTAGTGCGTTTGCCTAAATATTTGAAATGATTTTACCAGGTGAAGAAATCTAAGTATGTCGAGCAGAACTCGGGATGTTCTAGAAGGTTTGGTTAAAGATAGTTCACTTAAATGGTTGCTTGGGTCGAAGACATAGAGAATTCTCCATCTGCTGGATCCAATTGGATACCTGAGCTTTCTCCAGTAGCAAATGTAGTTATTCGCATGTGTTCAAAGTAAGAATGTTTCATTTTTAGTTACCTTTAATCCATCGAATTGAATCGGATTTAAAGAGCTTATTTGGAGTTTAGCCCTGTTTGAAAAGGTTCACGTCTTGAGCAAGATAAGCTAGCTTTTGGTATGCTAATGAAATCATTTATGTTATGGAATGGATTTGGATGCATAAACTAGCACGTGTTCTGCTTTTGTTCAGACATGTGTTCTGCCTTTGTTGATATGTTGATTATTGTGGAAACTCAAAATCTTCAGAAGTTTCTAATTCATGTAATCCATCTAGTCTTTGTTCTTCATGTTAGCTATTCAATTGTAGTGATGGAATACATGGATCTTCATCTTGTAATGTTTGGCTTTAGTTTAAGCTTTGTTTTAATCTTGAATCTTTTTATGAATAGGGTGCTTGACAACCATCGTTGAATATCTCGACTGTTTTGACGAGTTTCGGATTGTTGCTTAGTGAACCGAATCCGGATGATGGCTTGATATGTGAAGGAGTAAGTCTACTTGCAACACACTTTTTTCTTGTGATTTTGCTTTTGTTTCTTTAAGCTTTGTTTTGGCATTTTTTCAGAGCAGTGAGTATAAATACAATAGACAAACTTTTGATTATAAGGCACGAGAGATGACTGAGAAGTATGCTAAGGTTAAGCGTGATGGATGCAGCACCAGCTTCCAAATTAAGGTGCATAATTACCTATACTTCTATAGTTTTTCACAAAATCTGAGTCTTTAGTGAGCTTTTAGGTAAAGGTTGACTTTGTTTCTTTAGAATCATGGAGATGAGAAGGCTTTTGAAAGTGGAAATAGTTTTTTCATCTGGTAATGACGACGGGATTAATTAAGCTGAAGTTGACAGTGGAATCTTCCTTAAGCATAGCGCACGTAGTGAACCATGAGAGTGCAGCGAAAGATCAACAAGAGGATAGAAATGGGAAAAGAGATTGAAAAGAGATAGAAGTTTGTCTTTATCCTTGTGATGTTAGTTTTTTTTTTTTTTTAAGACATGGCATGTAAGATTTGTTTTGGTTAATGTAATATTATTGTTATGTTTGTTGATATATTATGAAATATAAACATTATAATATAATTCTAATTAAATAAATTCCGAAAACAGCATTTAAATATAAAAATTATATAGATCAAATTAATATATTCATATAACAAAATAAAAGTGATATGATCTAATATAAAACAGCACTAAACATTTGTTACAAAAAAGTATATTAAAGCATTCAGCTAGTGCTATAATATAATGATCTATAATAGCGCATCAAAAACCGCTATTATATGGGGTGATCCTATTATAGCTGGGGCAGAAATAGCGTTTAGAAAAACGCTATTGATTACGTATAATAGCGTTTATCGTGAGCTAAGAATGTGCATTTTTCTTGTAGTGCAACAATTACCTTAGATTCGAGAAATAATGGAAGACGATTGGTTCCGTTTTGAGAAAACAGAGACGTCAAAGTTTTCGATTGGTTACAATTTCTGTTCACTATGATTGTTTTTTTCCATCTATCAGCCTTTTCGGCTAAAGAAAGGGAAAAGCTTACACTTCAAATAGTCTTCAGGCACTCCACAAGTTTCTGTAGTACTGCAGATTTCTTCGAAAAGATCGATGTGATCCATCAGGTGCTCCGTGCTTAAACCATGGAATTGGTTTTGCTTCACAAAACCAATGATTTGAGATTTGATCTCATAGTCACGTATTGGAGGATTAGGAACTCGTATGGCAGCTTGATCTTGCGGTTATTGATTTGGTGCATCATAATCGGCTATCGTACGGTATGGAGCGGCTCTTCTCAAAGGAGGAACATAAGCGGCATGTCTTGTGGAAATATTAAAAGGGTGTTAGGCATTAATGACATTAGCTAGCTGCGGAAGATAAACGTTGAGGTTGTCTCCCACGCCTTGAGGATTAGCTTCTGGAGGAGCTTGTTGATCTCGGTCTCGGCCATCTTGTTGGTCGAGTCTTTCTTCGGCTTGTTCGTAGATGGAGTTGCCATCTTCATCGTCTAAGGGCTTTCCATGCTCGTCGAGGGCTGGAACTTGAGATTGCGGACCAAGGTCACCGTCGTGCGGGTTCCTTTGAACGGCCATGAGTTGTTGTCTTTGAAGTCTTTGAATTCCGCGTTCTAGTTTTCCTATGTCTTGGTATGGTAGTACACCTGAGTTTTGACTAATTGTCATGCACTGCAGATACCAATAATAGAAACTAAAAGGGAAAAAGAAGTTATCGAAGAAAAGTAACAAGTGAGAATTTAAACAAAAAACTCAAAGTATCTTAGAGTATAATTTCTTATTGAATTTAATGGTAGTTTGAATCACTCCCCAGCAACGGCGCCAAAAAGCTTGATGTGTGTAATTTTTCACTTTAATCTTTTACCTGAAAGACCACACGTTAAACTGCAAGTGCACAGTAATCAGAGTAGTATTTTAGGATCGATCCCACAGAGAGTGTAGCTACGGGTTATTAAGATCAGGAAAAAAGATCTTGCTAAGACAAAACTAAATTTGGGGTTTGGGTTTTGGGTTTCCTAATAACTAATGCAATGAAATAAGAAAGCAAATAAATGAAAGCAATGTTAAAGACGGTTGTAAAATACTAAAATCTATGACTAAGGCATTGGACGTTATAGGGTTTCTCAGGGTATCATGGTTCTCGACTAACTACGGTTTTGATAACTTAAGTTTCTATGTTTTCGTTCTAGTTCATATCTACAAAAGATGAATAAACGAGTTACCCTAGGTTATAGGATAAGCCGGTAAATGTCCCTAGACTCCGTTACTCAACTGACACAGGAAACGACGCATAGTTCGGCACAGTAACGATGAATTCGCTAAGTACTTTAAGTCCAATTACTCAATTTACGCAGGCAACAACACGAAAGATTGGTAACAAAATGTCCGAGATTAGGTTTATCCGATTAGAGATCTTAACCTCTTCGATCAGCGTTTGGTCATCAATACTAACACATGCATTAAGTAAAAGATGTCCCAAAAGAATCTATATGAAAAAAAAAATTGGATCTAATAACCTAATATGATTTGAACCATGAATCCCCTTTGAATCACCCCATAAAACCCAACAAAGAAAACTACTCTCTCATGATGCAAAGAAACGACATAGAGATGTAGAAGAAAAACACCATAAACGAATCAATAAAACAAAGGAGAGAAAGCAATGAAGAACAAGAGAGAGATCTTCAAAGGACGACGACTTTTATGGCTTGATCGACGAGGTGGAGCTCGGAGAGCTGAGAGTCTCATCGAGGTGGCTGCTGAAAAGGAGGCGAAAAGAAGCTCTAAGAGGCTGTCGTGAAGAGGCCGTAGGGTTTCATCACTTTGTCCCGGTGTTTATAAGCTTCAAATAGGTCAAAGGACAAATCGTCATTTCCCGTGAATTAGGTTTATTGTTGGCTCGAGTTTCTGGACCGGTTGCAAAGGTGTGTGGCCGTTGGTGAGTGAAGAGGGCAGCCCGGTCAAGAGCTTCATGGCCGGTGGAGCTTGGGAGCTCCGGAACGGTCGCGAGGCTTTTGGCCGGTCTGGACATATCTTCACTCTTCTGGGCATAATTTCCGAATGGCTGAATTGTTTACCTTGATTCCACTTCGATGACAATCTTGATTTTTCTAGCTTTCCATAGCCACCAAGATTTCTGGATTTTGTAATCAGAAAGACCTTGAACGGATGTCATAGTTATGAAGTACAGAAACTCTCTTGAAACAGGATTTGATCAACTTTTACTCCTTTTTGCTTGAAAATTCATAATTCTTCCTTGAAGCTTAAATACTTGGAAACAACCATGAAGTATCAATATCTCTTGATTTCTCCATGGAAAACCTAATAAAACATAGTAAAAGTGGGCTAAAATACGATGTTATCAAACAGTCATCTCTCACTCGCTTTCTTTGCTCACTCTTTTCTCACAATCAATCGTGTTTCACTTCTTCCATATCCCTTTTGAGAGGGCTCTGATACCACAATCTTGAACTTAGTACACAATGATTTCTGAGAATACTTCTCTGATACTTAGATTGAAAACGAAATGGCCTTTAAATAGCCGTACAAAAACTTAAGCAAAACTGAAACAGAGAATAAACAGGGAAGCACAACAAACATATTCAAACGTGACTTAGTTCCTAATACTTCGCCTCAGTGCCGGTCCGAGCATTTGTGAGACCCTACACGAAATATAAAATGAGGCCCTGATATTTATTAACAATACTAGGACTCAAGACCCCGCGATATCGCGGCGGAATATATTTCAAAAATCGTTTAAAAAATATCAAACGAAAAATCATAATGAATTATAATAATTTTGATTTTTTAAATATCAAATCAATATATATTTTACAAAAATTATGATAAAGAAAACCCTCACAAGCATTTATTAAGTATATGAATATTAGAAAAACATTAATTTGTAACTAAAAAACTATTCCCAAATGCAAAAAGCATTAAATAGTAAACCAAAGGTTACAATGGTTTGATAAATAAACCAAAATATTCAACGTCAAATAAACCAAATGCTACTATGTTAAATTAAACGGTGACAATAATTTATTCAAATATATTTTAGTAATTAAATATTTTTTACAAAATATGACAAACTTTAACCGAGAGACGTGACCGTAGATATCAAATATACCAAAAGCTGCAACGGTTCGTCAAATATACCAAATATTGCAATGGTTCATCAAATATACTAAAGATTACAATGGTTTGTAAAACAAAACCAAAAGTTGCAATGATTCGTCAAATAATCCAAATATTGCAACAGTTCAATTAAATAGTTACAATCTCATTTAAATACATTTTAATAATTAAAAATTAAGAACTAAAAATAATAATTTATGAAAGGTTACACCGACAGTAGATGATTAAATGTTATGAAGATTTATAAAATAAACTTAAAGTTGCAATTTTTCATGAAATAAACTAAATGTTGCAATAGTTCTACTAAATAAGGATAGGGTCTGCTTATTATCATCGTAAAACAAATAATCGTTGTAGCAAGACAAAAAATTGGAGTTTCGAAAAGAAAGACAATATATAGAGTTGAAAATGCACGATTTTACAACTATTCGGTAAGTCCATTACGTAGACGAACGTGTCCGTTACAGCTTTAATGTATGGGGCTCATTTCACTCACGTATGTCCAAATTATTTAAACCTCTATATTATTGTTTTCCCATGATATCATGTAAATGTTAAATGAATGATATAGTTAAGGAGGTTATACTACTAACTATATCCATATGTAAACTATGAAATAAAACCAATTTTATATGTAGTTTATTGGTTTACGTAAAAAGAAATTCAATAAAACAACATGATCGTACAAAAATAACTGTAAGAAAAACAACCTTAAATATTTAAACGAAAGGTTGCAATAAAAAGACGCAACCGTTCAGATGTGTAAATGGTATTTATTGGAAACGAGATAACCGATTAAAACGAAAATTGCGATAAAAAGACGCAACCAAAATAACCGTAAAAAAATAACTGATTTAAACGAAAGGTTGCGATAAAAAGACGCAACCGTTCAGATGTGCAAATGGTATTTATTAGATTGCTATTATATATAGATTTAACATATGTTTTTTTTTTATATATGTTAATTTTTATTATTGTTTTAAAAAAATATCCAAAAAAATGGGCCTCAATATCACTAATTTAACTAAGTAAAATTTCAAAATGGGCCTCAATAACCAAAAAATACTATAAAAAAAAAAAAAAAATTGTGGGACCCCAAGCAGTGGCTTGGGTAGCCTGTCCTGCGCGCCGGGCCTGCTTCGCCTTATTGACTCAAACTAACAAATGACTTAGTCTTCCAACTCTAACAGATGTGTTCTTGAACTTACTTTTCTCCGTGTGAATGTTGTGTTTGGTGGTCAAACTTGGTTACTAGTGTCTAAGCTATAAGACAGGGCAAGGCAGACGCATTGTTCTCCTCTTCGATCAAAATGCAGCTTTTTATGCACTTCGGTTTTGTCTAAGACTTGTCCTCTCCATTAATTAGCATTGTCTTAGGAGCCTGATGTAATACTTTTTATGATTTTACTAGGTTATGAACCCACGCTACGCGTGGGTCTATTTTTAGATTTTTTAGTAAATTTTTGTGTGACTAATAATATTAATTGAAAATTTTGAAATATATGTTTTTATAAGTCTACTTATTGTTAATAATAGTTTAAATTCTTTGAATTTTAAAATTACTATGACAAATTGAACTATTTGTCATAGTAATTTTTTTTTTTTTTTTTTTTTGACAAAACAAAAAAAAAAAATTACTATGACAAATAGTTTAATTTAAATACACAACTAAAAAAACTATTATACAACTTTTAGGTTCTAAACAACATTTATCAAAAGAACATTTTTTTTTGTTTAATAGCTCTCTCTTTAGCTTTAGATATTTTGGATGATTGAGTTTTTTTACGTACAACGTTTTGATTGAATCTCATGAATTGGCTTTAGGCGGGGAAACCCAACTGCAAGACCAGAGGCATTGTATGGGGACTAACTTCGACGACATTCTCATTTTAGTATTTGCAAATTCACTATTTTTCTTCGTCTATCTTTACTGTATTATTTAGTTTAGTTCTTCTAAAGATAAGATTTTGTACAGAATTATACGCATAAGTTTATCTGTACTTTCTTTTTAACAACTCATATTTTTCTCACATTTTTCAATATGTATATGAATTTTCGTCTTCATAATTTTTTTCGGAGAGCTATCACTCTTTCTATCTTTTTGCAAGCACTCTTTCTGCTCTAATAAAATAAATATCGTCTCTTTTTCATTTTCATTTTCTACTTATAAGTTGTGTGTGGTTTTTCTTTCCATGAAACGACAGCACATGCACGTTTTTACAAACCTACCGACTAATTTTCTTTTATGAAAGCTCGCCGGTGATAAGGTTATATAGCCACCAACTATCCTAACAATTTTAAAACGCAGTAGCTTGATATAAGCTTAACGAAAACCCTCATCAAGATATAGGGAACTAAGAGGCAGTGGAAATTTTATGATTTTTTTTAAGAACCGACGATATCTATAAGGAAAAAAATAATTATTTTTCTATATATATACATCATTATCAGCTTATTTAAAAACTTATTTCCTTAATTTTATGAAAGATATATGGTCAGAAAAAGAGGCGGTCAAAGATTTTGGGATTAATATTTTTCAACGAAATTTAAGTAAGAATAAAGAAAAAAAAACATTTTAAATATTTTTAATCACTAT